GCAGCCCACCATCCTCAGACATTGACAAGTAAGTAGGTATGCCTGCTCCTCCAAGATTATTTCAGTGCTTCTGTACTAGTTTGACTATGGATGTCTTTATTCTTGTACATATGCTGGTCGTTGGCCTTATAACAGTGTTTCCCTAAGAAATTGCTTTTCCTCAGTGCCTCTTGTTGCAGTGCTGGCTATATTTAAACTGAAGGAAGAGGAATTTGCTGTTCTCAGATTGTTTATTTTTGCACTGATTTCCTTTCAGCCCAATCCATGACGGGTCAGGGGCACATGGCTGCTGGGGGGAACTGTAGCTAAAATGGTGCTAACTCAGCCAGTTTCTGATGGGAGGTTTTGGCTTGGTAACCCCACGAAAAGAAGAGGCCAGGACATGGAGGCTGTCAACATGGCACCTGTAGTGATATTCTTAATTAAATTAGACTTTCAGAATAGCAGTGGCTTTGTTTAATCTCTCTCCATGCAGCCCCTCCTCCTGCCACCCACACAAAGCATCATAAGAGAGGATCTGACAGTAAAATCCCTGCTATGGAAGCAATTTTGCTGTTACAAACAGTGGATGGCAACATCACTAATGGAATTAGGCTAATTATAGAGAGGACAGCTTCTGTTTAGACACATTATCTGGGTAATCAGCACTGACTGGAAAGAAAATACGGGAAAAAGTGCTGCAGAGTTTTGCTCGATGGGGGCTCTCCATATGCATTTTAGAGCCTGGGGTGTTTCACTCAGAGAGTACCACTATCAAACTGAACACAATGCTGCTGGGGCTGGTCCCTGGGGGCTTTGTCTCTTCTTGGAGATAGTCCATTCCTGAATGCAGCTTCCCTCCTGAGCAGCCAGTGTCCTCTTCTGCAGGGTTCAGTCCCTGCTGAGAGCTGGTGTGGAAGCGAGTCTAGCTGTGTAAATCTATGCCTGACCTTCATCTCCTTTCACCCAGAATAATCTTCTTCCCAAGAACACTCAGTTGTCCTGCGTGAGCCTGAGCATCTTCCACCCAAACGAGGGGGTTTGAGAAACAAGCTGAGCCAACCCCCCAGCAGGAGCATGTGCTCTGCAATTCCCCTCCCTGCATGGCATGATGTAAAATGGAGACAGTGCAGAGAAAGGCTTGATTTACTAGTCAGACAAGTTCATCCAGCCCTGGTAAAATGTCTCTCTGATTTAACACACTTGGTTTGCTTTTCAGGCAGAATTTAACTCCCCTTTGCAAAGCCCTTACACTTCATTTCTGTAGATTTTGACAGGGTGCTTTATGTCTGGGGAAAAATCAGTGGTGTTTGAGATAGTTAGATGAGCAGATTTGATTACTGTCCCGCTGCTGCAGCAGCAGGATACAGAGGAGCAGGCAGGGAGAACTGATAATCACTCAGTCTTTGAGATTGGTGCTGGCCTGACCCCACTGGGTGAGACTGGATTTGGTGACACATCTTCTCCACAGCATGGCCTGGAGGAGAGGAGTCACTGCTGGTGTCTGGGAGCCCGGTGCAGGGTGAATCCTAATGCAGTGCTCTGTCCTTTGCTGCCTGGCAGGTGTGAGAAGTGCTACCTCTGTAAGTCACTGGTGCCACTGCTGCAGTATCAGAGGCACGTGGACAGCTGCCTTCAGGCTGCTAGGCAAGCTCAGGGAACCAGGAGGCTGCGAAGAGCCAAGGTGAGGGGCCACCCTGCACACCATCCCCTTTGCTTTGTGCTGGGTCTGGGGCTGGGCTGGCAGCAGGAGCTGGTTCCCTGGCTGGCAGGGATGAGCTGACCTGGTGTAGGATTGCCTGTCCCTGTGGGCTGCTGTGGACAGAGAACTCATTGCCCTCCTTCCCACGACGGTCTGTGGGAGCACGGAGCAGTCCCAGGGGTGAGCTAATCCAGCAGAGCTGCCAGCAGCCTCTCCAGTGGGCAGGCAGCCAGGGTTGTCCTGCTGCCAGCCAGCACAGCCTCAGTCCTGCAGCCTTCCTCTGCTGAATGTCGATGGAGGGGAGGCCAGCATCAGCATGACAAACCTCTCTGGATATCCACAGGCCCATTCCCACGGGGAAGGCTTTAGAGGCAGAGCAGGGGAAGTTGCTCAGTGCTGGGAGCGAGCAGCGGCGTCCCAGGAGAGTTGTGGGGGAGTGAGTGTGCTGGAGGTGTGCTGGGTGTGGGGAATGTGCCTTGCTAGAGGAGGTGGGAGGCAGGAGTGTGGGTGGCAGCTGGCTCACAGTCACTCACCAGGTGTTAGCCCCCACTGTGCTTTTTCCTGCTCGTGGCAGTCCCAGGGGAGCACAGAGGGTCCTTCCAGGCCTTCCTGCTGGCTCCTGCAGGCAAAAGCCTCGTGCTGCAGCTTTGCCTGTGCTCAGAAATGTGATTCACGGCATGAAGATGCAACATGATGTCTTAGTTTTGTATAATCCCTTAAATCCATCACAGACCTCAGCCCTTTGGGGATTCAGATGCAAATGATGAGATTTCTGGTTGATGATTTTGGCTGGGATACAGCCAAGCACTGTGTGGTTCAGAGTACTGCAGGGCATGGCTGCTCCTGCATGTGACCAGCTCTGTGGGGGCTCTTTGGGTCCCTGTGCCCCACAGCTGGCTGGTGTGTGGGTCCTGCAAGCAGGCACAGGTGTTTCATGGGGGAAAGATGCTGAAGCCAGGGGGCTCTTTGGGAAGGCTCAGCAAGGCTCTGTTACCTCTGGTCCTGTCTTTTACTGGGTGGCAGCTCACTGGGGAAGTCTGGGCATTGGCTGGGCCATTGCAAAGCTTCTTAATGGCACAGTTGGGCTTGCAGTTTCCTGCAATGGCCCATTTTGGGGTGATTTGCAGCACCAATGCCACAGCCAGGATGCCAGTGCCTTCCAGAGCAGTTCTGGGGGCAGAGAGCAGCCAGGAGAGGGGACTTTGCTGGGCCAGTGAGGCTCAAAGCAGCCAGGCCAAGTGGTCTTCCCCTAGCATGTGTGACCAGCATGGCTGCATCTTCCCAGGGGCAGAGACAGGGCACAAGTGTGTTCCCTGTCTGGCTGTGCCCTGAAGGAAGGCCCTTCCCTCCAGCACCAAGCACCAAATACCCTTGGACAGAGTGGGACAAGTCTGCCCTTGGACATGCAGTGCTGGGGGATGTGTTCCAGTGGTGTCAGAGCCCCTGATGCCCCCTTTTATCACAGCCCTGTGCTTGCTGGCTGGGCTTGGGAGTGGCATCCTGTACCCTGGCCTCCCTCTTTACCAGGTTCTGCTTGATTAGCTGCTCTCTGCTGCCTCTGCTTGAGCACCAGTTGGGCTGGGCACAGAGCAGTGCCCTTCCCACGGGTGGCAGCAGTCCCTCTTGTGCCCAGCCTGACCCTGAGGGCTGGGGGAACCATCCTGGCTAAGAGGGTCCCTCGTGTCAGTGCTGTGATGGTTGTTCTCCTCTCCTTGGCAGGACACTGGAAGGCAGGAGAGAGGACTCCTCAGGATGCTGGAGCTCTCGGAGAGCAAATCCGAAGGTGGATAACTTTCTATTCCAGCCTGGCTGGGTTGGGGCTGCTTTTCCCAGCTCTCACCTTTTGGTCCTGGCTTGGCCTGGGCTGTTCTGGGAGAGTAAATTCCCCTTGGAAGGGTCTGTTCTTTCTGAGCAGAGCAGGGAGCTGTGGGCTCAGCTGGCTGTCAGCATTCCCCAGCTGGCTGCACACATTCCTGCCAGTGCCCACTGGACCCACACCAGAGCCCTTGCAGGAATGGGGGTGTACTCTGAACCATTGCCTCAAGACACGTCCAGCTTCCTGGGGGATGTGGGAGGCTTCTGCTGTGCCTGCTTCCCTCCATGGATCCAAGGATAGGAGGAGAAGAGGGGGGAGAGGTGCTCTTGGCAGCACCCGTGGCTCACAGGAGGGCTGATGTGTGCTTTTGTTGCAGGTGCTGACACGGGGACTCCCCTCACTGGATTAGGAGACCAGCAGTCCTCTCCCACACTCTCAGCTGCTGTTGGGGAGCCGTCAGCAGACAGCCCCATCTCCCTTCAGCACCTTCCTTTCCATGGCTCCCCTGTGAAACCTGGCATCTCCTTGGAAGCCATGGATGGCGTGGTGGACTCGGAGCCGTGCACGGCTCTCCATGCAGGCAGCCAGCAACGGCCCAGAGGCCGCCGCCGGAGAAGGCACAAGTTCTGAGGCTTCAATGCTGCAGGGATCCCCGGCCGCTCCCTGTGCCCCAGCGAGGGTCTTCTTGGCACTGTACCCCTGCTTCACCTGCAGCCTTTGTCTCCTGTGCCCCTTTTATATGTTTTATACAACCTGTGCTGGGAGCGCTGGGTGGAGAAGTGACTGTGTGTTTTATAGGTGCCTGTGCAGCTTTGCTCTCTCTTACAGAAATGGAAATATATTTATGTATGTTTTTATGAAACTGCAGCACCACGGCAGAGCTGTGCTGGCTTTCTCTGGGGAATGGGAGGGCACTGGAGGGAGGAGAGAAGAAGCAGCAGACGGTGGGTCCCAAATCACAGTGCCAGGGGCCTCTCCTGGAGCTGGGGTTGGTGGGAGGGCTCGGGGCAGAGGGCTGCAGTGTCCTGTGCTCTGTGCAGCAGCACAGCACTGACATTCCCAGCCGGGAGGGGCAGAGGGCACCTTGGTGCCAGCTGACAGCCGCAGTCAGCGGATGCAAGGACCGGAGGAGCCACGGCCGCGGTGTCCCCGTGTCCTTGGTGCTTTCCCTGTCCCCGGCTGGCTCGGCCGTACACCCGCTCCCCGGGGCAGCGGGGCTTTGCCTGCCTCGCACGGGGCCTTAGAGGGATCTGCTCCCCGAGAGCATCCTCACGGGGAACCGGGGAGGGCGACCCCATGGCTAATTAATGGCACGAGCTGGTGCGGAGCTCATTAAACCCGGGCTTTAAACGGCGCTGCCGCCCGGCCGGGAGCGCGGAGCGGGGAGTGGCCCCTCACGCGGGTGGGGCCCGGAGCGGCGCCGCCCATTGGCCGCGGCGGGGCCGGCTCGCAGCGGGCCGACCAATGGCGGGCCGGGGCGCGGCTGTTGCCACGGGGACGGCGCCGGCAACGGCCCCGCTCGCGCCGGCACGGGCGCCGGCCCCATAACGGCCCCTCACACCGGCCGCGGCCACCGCCGGCCTCGCACACCGCCCCGGCCACCACCGGCCCCTACACCGGCCCCGGCCACCATCGGCCCCTACACCGGCCCCGGCCACCACCGGCCCCGGCCCCACACCGGCTCCAAACACCGGCCCCAAACACCGGCCCCTGCCTCGCCACCATGGGCAGTCGCAGCACCCGGCCCACATCCCAAAATGGCCGGCCCGGCGGGGCGGACAGAGCAGACCAAGGCCCGGGCGCGCAGGAGCAGGACAGCCGGTACGTGGGCCGGTGAGCGGCTCCTGCCCTGCGGAGACTGCTGTGGGGCCGGGGAGGGGCCGACAGGTTCCCCGGATCCCTCAGGCTGTTGCAGGGGAGAAACATCAGCCTCTGGCCTCTTGCAGGTCGTGGGGACCCTCTGCTTCCTCCGCCCCCACGCTCGGCCCTATGACCGTGATGGGGCAGAGCCTCCTCCTCCACGACCGCAGAGGCAGTGTGAAGGTACTGCACAAGGACGACAGTATGGACCCCTCAATGACCATGGACATAGACAGCAGGTGGGAGTAGAAGTGGGTACAGGCCCCCCAGCCCCACTGTGTGCCTGGGCTAGGACAGGCATTTGTCCTGTCCTGCAGGCCAGAGCTCAGTGGGTGACATGCCACCTCCCTCCATGCAGGTTAGTGGGCAATCTGAACCAACGCCGTGATAGTTCCCACAGCACACCGGTAAGGCCCATCCCTGCTCCAGTCGTAAGTTCCCTGCCCTTAGTCTCTGCACCTCTGCCCTAATGCACCATCCCCAGATACAACGAGCCCTGCGAACACTCAGCATCCCGCTGGAGAGGCTGCATGTTATGAAGGGCCACATGATAGAGGACATGTGCAAGGGGCTGAGCCGCCAGACACATGCACAGGCCAAAGTGCGGATGCTGCCCACCTACATCTGCTCCACTCCCAATGGCACTGGTAAGGCAGCCCAGCCTGAGGATGAACTGTTCTGCTACCGGCAGCCCTGCACACCTCACTGGAGTTGACCCTGGGGATGCTGGGGAGGGATAAACCACTCTTGGATCAGTTATGGGATCTATAAGCTTCTCTGCCACTCCCCAGTGCAGGGGCAGTAACCAGAAGCTTGTTCCCTTGGCCCCTCTGAGAATCTCAGGCTCTCAGGAGCTTCCCCCATGGGTCAATGACAGTCCCTGGGACAGGGCTAGGAGCAGATTTTGAGAGATCTGCCACAGGGAAGGCCTCTGCCTGACACTGTCTCTGTTTCCCCATAGAGAAAGGCAACTTTCTGGTGGTGGAGCTGTGCCAGAGCCAGGTTCGGACCCTGTTGGTGACCCTCTACGGAGATGGAAACTTGAGCCCTCAAATGATGTACAAGATCTATGACCTGCCAGAGGGCATCACGCAGGGCGAGGGGGAAGCGGTATGAGGAGGCCATGGCAAAGGGTGGCTGGTGCCGGGCTGCCCAGCATCACGGAGGGCACTGGTGTTGGAGCTCAAGGCTGCCTTTCACAGCCTGGGTACTGAGCAAGGCCAGCAGTCCTTACCCCCAGTCATGACTTTGCAGCTCTTTGACTTCATTGCACAATGTGTGACCCAGTTCCTGTCTGAGACCACCAGCTCTGACACCGACTCTGAGCAATGCCTCCCCTTGGGCTTTGTGTTCCCCTTCACCTGCCGGCAGACGCAGCTGAACAAGGTGAGGGGGAGAGCCCTGTCCCAGGCTGTGACCACAGCACAGCAACAGTGGGGAGAGGAACTGTCCTGGTGCCAGAGGTCAATGGCTCTGCCACATTTTCTCCACAGGCAGAACTCCTCTCCTGGTCCAAGGGCTTCAACTGCAGTGGCGTGGTGGGGAAGGACGTGGTGGAGCTGCTGCAGGCAGCCATCGATAAGCAGGCTGGGCCGGATAAGGAGGGGGAGGCCAGTGGGGGAGGCGGTTGGTTTAAGAGCAGGAAATCCTCTCAATCTGCTGCTCCTAGCCAGTCCCGCCATGTGGAAGTTGTTGCCCTGATGAATGACACCGTGGGCACCATGATGACCTGCAGCATGGAGGGGAGAGCCTGTGAGGTCGCCATGGTTGCAGGTGAGACCTGGGCATGGCACATGCCATGACAGTGGGTGGTGGGTGCTGGGGGGCCGTGCTGGTGCTCAGCCCCATCACTCCTGCAGACAAGGGCTCCAACTGTTGCTTCATGGCCGAGGCGTACCTGGTGGAAACAACAGATGAGACCAGCGGGCGGATGTGTGTCAACACTGAGTGGGGCTGCTTTGGGGATGATGGCACCCTGAATGACCTCTTCACACCCTACGATCAAGCTGTGGATGAGGAATCTTCCAACCCTGGGGAAAAGAGGTGCTCTTTCTCCCCCAGAAAGGACAGGCTCCCCATCTATCCCTGAGCATGTCAGGCCCCACCAAGAGGAGCACTCATTCCCCTGAAATGCTCCTGGGTGCTCTTAAAGGGCCAAGGGGTGCTGCTAGGGAGGCACGACTGACTCCCATGTGGGCTCAAACACAGGTTTGAGAAGATGGTGGGCACCCTGTACCTGGGGGAGATTGTCAGGCACGTGCTGATTGCCCTGACTGCTGAGAAAGCTATGTTCACTGGGACCGATGCTGCTGTCCTGAAGGAGAAGGGAGTGTTCACAACGCAGCATCTTCTGGAGATTGTCAAGTGAGTGTCTGAGGACTGGGAGCTGGGTGGGAGCATGGGGGGTGATGGATGGGTGTTCCTGGCTGCGGGCTGGTGAACCTGCAGGTTGCTGCTGTGATCTGCCTTCTAGCAATGAGGACAGCATAACTGAAGTTAGGAGGATTCTGGAGGCGGTGGGGCTACAGCCCAGCGAGCGGGATTGCGGCCGGATGCAGCAGATCTGCCGGGCAGTGGTGGGGCGTGCTGCCACACTCCACGCCACTGGGCTGGCTGCCATCCTCAGCTACATGTGCCAGACCCGGGATTTAGAGTCGCTGATGGTCAATGTGGGGGTGGAAGGAGAATTGTTCGCAGGCTACTCCAGGTGAGGAGGAACACAGGGCTCCCAGTGGGGTGCTACCCCAGTGGGATGCCTCACACCCAGCCCATGCTATCCTCTTCATCCTGGGCAGGTTTGAGGAAATCTTGCTGAGTGTGTCAAGGCTACTGGCCCCTGAGTGCATGGCCACCATCCTGGCCTCGAGAGATGGCTCTGGGAGGGGGGCGGCCATGGTGACAGCCGTGGCTTTGCGCCTGGCAGCCCAGCGCCATGCGGTGGATGAGGTGCTGGCCCCGCTACGGCTCAGCCGCGATGACCTGGTGAAAGTCCAGGCATTGATGAGGGAGGAGATGGATCGGGGCCTGGGTAAGGAGACCAATCCCAGTGCCTCTGTCCGCATGCTGCCCACCTACGTTACTCACACACCTGATGGCACTGGTAAGGGACGGGGACACTGGCAATGGGGTGCTGAGGAGGCTGTGGCCCTGCTAATGCACTGTGCTGGTTCCCTGCAGAGAAAGGCGACTTCCTGGCTTTGGACCTGGGGGGAACCAATTTCCGTGTGCTGGTGGTGCGCATAACAGAGGATGGCATCACCATGGCCAGCGAGATCTATGTCATCCCAGTTGGCATCATGCAGGGCAGTGGCGAGGAGGTGAGGCTGAGGACTTGTGACCAGTGGCTGGGGCAAGGGCGTGGGCATTGCCTCTCTACTTGCTCTCCATGGGGCCATGATGGGGCTGGGAGAGGCCCCCCAGCATTGCCCCAGCCTAGACCATGCTCACTATCCACAGCTCTTCGACCACATCATCGACTGCATCATAGACTTCCAGACAAAGCAGAACCTGGTAGCACAAATGCTGCCTCTCGGCTTCACCTTCTCTTTCCCCTGCCAGCAAGTGGGCCTGGATAAGGTGAGGGGGTGGCTCCAGCACCAGGATGGTGGGAAGGACCCCAGGATGTGTCCTGCTGCCCTGGCCCCTGATCTGGCCACTGTTGCAGGCATTGCTGCTGACCTGGACCAAAGGCTTCAGCGCCTCAGGCTGCGTGGGACAGGACGTTGTCCAGCTGCTGCGGGACGCTGCCAAGCGCAAACGGGTAGGGAATGTCTGGTGGCCTGTCCCTGTCCCCAGGGTAGAGGGACCTGCATTCAGGCACTGTCCGCCCCAGGAGGTGTCTGGATGCCACTAGACCATGTGTCTCCATCTCCTATTTGGCAGCACTTAGGGATGCAGGTGGTGGCTCTGGTCAACGACACAGTGGGAACCATGATGGCCTGTGGTTATGATGACCCCAAATGTGAAATCGGCCTCATTGTGGGTGAGGAGCACCTCTGCATCCAGGAGGTTCCCCATCTCCTCACCACCCCTCTACCCCCCATGGCATGGCCACATGCCTCTACTAGACCTGCTATGGGGGTGACACCAGCATGGGGCCTGCAGGGACGGGGACCAATGCCTGTTACATGGAGGAGATGAAGAACGTGGGCACTGTGGAGGGGGACCAGGGCCGCATGTGCATCAACATGGAGTGGGGGGCCTTTGGGGACAACGGCTGCCTAGACCATCTCTTCACCCACTTCGACCAGGTGGTGGATGAAACCACCATCAACCCGGGCAAGCAGAGGTGGGTGAGGGCCCTGGGGCAGAGGGGGTGGGAGCGGGTGGCTGTGCCTAGCTGAGGCTGTGCCTTGGATAGGTTTGAGAAGCTCATCAGTGGCATGTATCTGGGCGAGATCGTGCGTCAGATCCTGCTGGTAATGACAGAGAAAGAACTCTTGTTCCAAGGCAAACCCTGCCCCAAACTCCAGACCAAGGACATCTTCAAGACCAAGTTCCTCTCTACCATCGAGCTGTGAGTGTTGGGTTCCTATGGGTTCCCTGAACCCAGGGTGGGGGTATCAGAACACCAGGTAAGGAGCCAGGCTGCACGATGTGGCACAGACAGGGTGATGGGTACAGTGATGGGGATGGGGATGCTGCTAACAGCGCATTGGTCCGGACAGCAATGGGCTGGCCCTGCGGCAGATCCGGGCCATCCTGAATGAACTGGAGCTCGATGCCAGCTTTGAGGACTGCGTGCTGATGCGGGAGGTGTGCCAGACCGTGTCCCTGCGCGCGGCCCAGCTCTGTGCTGCTGGCTTGGCTGCTGTGGTGGAGAAGATGCGGGAGAACCGAGGCGTGGACCAACTGTCTGTCACTGTTGGGGTGGATGGCACCTTGTACAAGCTGCACCCATGGTGAGTGGGGCCAGGGGTGGCAGGCACCCATGGGCCATCCTTGCCCTATGAAGGGGTCTGTGGTGGGAGGCATGGTGTGTATAGGGTGGGAGCATCAGTCCTCACGCTCCCCTTCCATCCTGCCTAGCTTTTCCAACAATCTCCAGACGACACTGAAGGACCTGGCACCCAATTGTAATGTGACCTTCATGCTATCAGAGGATGGCTCAGGGAAAGGGGCCGCGCTCGTAGCAGCTGTGGCCGATCGCGCTGCCAATGCCATGGAATAGTCACCATTCCAATAAAGCTCTTTGGTCTGCATCTCCAGCTTCTGGGGGGATCATGAGGGGCGTGGGGCAGCGCATGGCCGGGGACAGCCCCACGTAGCAATATATATCGAATTTATTTACATTCACGTCCGGCAGACCCCCCGCCCGCGGCACCGCTATGTACATAAGGCCAAGTGTAAATACTTGAATGCACTTAATACAGAATTAAAAAAACGGGCTTTACACAACACGGCATGGGGCCCGGGGCCGCCTGGCCCCACACGCAGACACCACGACGGCACCGCACGCACGACGCACACCCTGTGCCCCCCCAGTCCCCCACCATGGGGCTCTGGGACCCCCAGGGCTGGGCTGAGTCCCGACGCCACAGTGCTGGAGGGGCCTGACTGCCATGGGGCAGGGGCATCCTGCCCTCCCAAGGGGGCTAGGTAGCCCTCCTCGTGTGCTGTGGGGCAGTAGGAGCCTGGTGGGCCAGCCAGGGCCCCCGCCCCCCTTAGCCCCATGGTGGTGGTCCCCTGGGACTCGCCATGCTCAGCACTCAGCCTCCGAGAAGAGGGCACCGTCCTGCTTGCCGACCTCGGCCACGGCAGCAGCCAGCTGGGAGAGGTTGCCATTGGGGAAGTGCCGTGCTTCCCACAAGTTGAGGATCATGGCTGTGGGGCTGGCCTTCGAGGCGAAGAAGCTGAGATGGCTGCAAGGGGACAGAGGGACATGTCAGGGCACAGGGATGGCTGCACATCCCCTTCTCAGCCCCGTGCTAGCCTCACCTTGCTAAGCAGCCGTCTCCCGGGATCCCACAGCATTCCAGCATCCATCCATAGACGCAGGATGAGGCCAGAACCCCTGCCCCCATCCAGCATACCACCCATCCCCAGCACTGTCCTCAGTCTGCATTACCTGTCAAGGTTGAGCTTTTGTGCCAGTGTCCTCCAGTCGGCTCCCCGTGTGCCCGGCGGGTCCAGGCTGCTGATGATCTTTTGGCGGATGAGGAAGGGGATCTTGAAGGCACTGGGGCCCACCAAAGCCGGGGTGCCCACCTCTTCGGGGACCAGCCAGTCTGAAAACCTTGTGTCCTAGGGGAGAGCACGAGCAGGGAGGGAAGGGGATGTGAGGCAATGCTATGGCCACCCCAAGGAGTGGCCCAGTCCTGCCCTCACCTTGGCGATGTTGAAGTTGACGGTGAAGCTCTGCCCGTCTCCCTCCACCTGCCAGACCCAGATCTTGCAGGCCAGCTCACAGGTGCTGGTGCTCAGGCGCTCCAGCGTGAAGGTGCAGTGCAGGAAGGGCTGCAGCCCGCTCCAGATGTGGTAGAAGGGGATCTCCTGCAGTGGGGTGACAGAGCTGGGGGGTGTCAGAGTGGCAGGGACACCTCCCTACACCTCTATCCCCATCCCCACACACCGGCCAGACTCCTCACCTGGTAGCTGGCGAGGAGCTTGCTCTTCCAGAGGGAGCTGGGCATATCGTGGATGGAGAGGCGCAGGTTGTGGTAGCTGTCCTTGAAGTGCAGCACCCGGGGGGCTCCGATCAGCTGCCCTCCCAGCTGCTTCTCCAGCTGGATCACCTCCTGCCAGCACAAGCAGCAGTCAGGCAGGAGATGCCGCACACCAGGAGCTCAGCTCTCGCTCCAAACCGGGATGGGCAGGTTGGGGACCCCGGTACCTTGAGGACGTCCTGGGTGTCACTGAGGCAGTAGACACGGATGTTGTACTCGAGCGAGGGGCAGGCGGCCGGCGCGAACAGGACCAGCTTGAGGCGCTTGGAGGCCGCCATGCTGAGGGACTCCCCAACCAGGGCAAAGCGCCCCAGCTGCTCCGTGAACACGTAGCAAGCCTGCGCTTCCAGCTGGCAGTAGTACAGCTCTGTGCATGGCTCAGCACCCAGCTGCAGCACGTCCTACCAGGCAGAGATGCACCTCAGCCCTGGCTGTCCCTCCTCCATCCCTGAAACCCCTCGCCCCTGCTCACCTCCCACGTGCCCTCACACGACTGCTTCTTCAGGCGGATGCTCCAGTTCTCAGCACTGGCTTCCACGCAGTGCCCCATGGCCAGGATGGCGGGGCGGGTGAGGAGGACCCCGGGGGGGCCACAGCTGACAATGGGGCTCAGCAGCGTCTGGCAGCCAGCCAGGGGAAGCCTGGGGCAGCGATGGGGGCAGCTGAGTCAGGACAGAACCCCCTCCAACAGCCCCGTGCCCCAGCAGCCCCAGCACCTACCTCACCTCCTCCTGCTTGTGCAGGGTCAGGTAAACCTCATAGATCTTCCCCCGTGGGATGGCATCGGGTGGGATGAGCAGGCTGATCCCTGGGTGGGAATTGGGGTGCAGGCAGGGGGTGAGCCCCATGAGGACCCTGCCTGGCCTAGGCAGTGGTCTGGAACCCCCACCCCGCTGTACCTGTGTTGGGGATCATGAGCCGCCCCCCCAGGAAGTTGAAGGTGCCATAGGCCATGTTGTTGGTGCCGCGGGGCAGGGAGCGGAAGTAGCTCTGTGTGGAGAGCCGGGCCACGAAGTCAGCACCCTCGGCAGCGGGCGAGCTGTGGTGCAGCGTGTGCCGTCCAGCACCCAGCGGGCTCAGCAGGTGCCCGTTGGGCAGCTGGAGCTTGGCAGGGCCGTCCTGGCGTGGGCAGAGCGAGCCCTGGTAGGTCATGGTGGTGGTGCTGAGGTCTGGCTGGATGGTGAGCAGGCTGGGGTTGTCTGCAGCACAGAGCAAGCGACTGTGGTGCCGGGGCAAGGAGGAAACAGGGGGTTCCCAGCAATGGTACATGGGCACAATCAGCTTGAGAGGGCATGGGGCACACAATCTCTGCCCCATAGTGAGGACCCCATAGGGCACAGCCACCACCCCTGGGGATCTGACCCTCTGTGGCATAGAGCGCTGACCCCACAGTCAGGGACTCTAAGATGCAGAGTTCCTGTCCCTAGGTCAGGATATCCCATAAGGTAAAGAATCAACTCAAGACCAGGGACCCCACGGGCACAGACCCCCACCTGTAGGGGATGCCCTGTAGCAGACAGCCCCTGCACTGTCCCTGCAGCACTCACTCACCAGCCTTGCTGGGTTTGATGCTGACGGGCTGGAAGCCGGCGGTGAGGATGGAGGAATCAGCCACATCAGCATCCAGGCCCCCCTTCTTGCGGCAGTACACCAGCACCCCCACCAGCAGCAGCAGCACCAGGCACACGGCCACGGCCACCAGCCCCACATACAGCGCTACGTCCTCTGCGCCGGGGGCAGCTGTGTGGGGCAGGACATCAGCACACATGGTCACACCCTGGTCCCCTCTCCCAGGGGACAACCCTGCCATCCCCACTGTGCTCACCGTGGGTGCAGAGCTCAGAGGTGCAGTTACGGGTGTCCAGCTCGGGGCCATGACAATCCCGGCCTCCGTTGCGTGGCGCTGGCTCCGAGCACTCGCGGCTGCGCCAGTGGGTGCATTCGGCCCCACACTCCGACCATTTGCTCCACTCCGACCAGGCACCGTCCACTGCAGGCACAGCCTGGGATCAGCGCCCTGCTGCCACCCCCCTTCCCTGCCCCGGGGCTGGCAGAGACGGACACATAGGGGAATTGGAGGACAAGACACCTGGTGGGGACAGGGACTGCAATGGGCGCAGTGGGGAGTGCAGCATCGGCACGACGGGGCGGTGGCGGTGCCCCGAGCAGGGCAGGTACCTGGGCAGAGGGTGGTGCAGGCGGTTTTCTGCACATTTTGGCCCTCACAGAAAGCACCCCCATTGAGGGGTGTGGGGTTGGTGCATGTCCGGCTCCGCTTCTGCCAGCCCCGTCCACAGCTGGTGCTGCAGCCTGACCACTGCGTCCACGTCGACCAGCCGCCGTTCACTGGGTGGAGAGGGACCCGTCAGCGCCCTGCCGCTAAGGGGACGCAGGGAGGGACAGGACAGGGAGAGTGACACCAGGGCAGCGTGGCAGGGACTGGTGTGGAGGGGCCATACCATAGACAGTGATGGCAGCAGAGGCGCTGCGGCGGCGGGCCACGATGTTTTTGGCCACACAGGTGTAGTTGGCAGTGTCGGCCAGGCGGGCCTGACGCAGCACCAGGCTGTGCTCTGGTGTCACATAGACGTTGGCATCCAGTTCTGGGTCCACCAGCTCCTCGTTGCGCAGCCACTCCACCTGTAGGACACAGGGATGTCACTGGGTGCCTGCCTGGGATCACACACATCATTGCCCTGAGTGAGGGGTATCCCCAGCCACATCCTGTCCTGCCCAGCTGCAGGGACCCACCTCGGCGGGGGGGATGCCCTCGGGAGGGCGGCATGGCAGCACGATGCCCTGCTCAATGGAGACCTCCCTGGCTGTCGGCTCCTGCTCGAAGTTCTTGCGCAGATCTGGGGAGGCACAGGGGTCAGATGGGGGGCTGGGGCCGGTGCCCCACACTCTGTCCACACACCTGCAGGCACTCACAGGCGATGCGCACGAAGGCCTTCTGGCTCTTGGTGGTGCCAGAGGAGCTCCAGGCCACGCACTGGCACCAGTACTCCTCCAGCCCAAAGATCTTCTCCACTTGCTGACGGGTGACCTCGATGCTCACTTCCATCACTGGCAGCCCTGGGACCGGACAATGGCACGTCACACTGGCATGCTGGGAGCTGTCCCTGATGCCCCAGCCCCGCCAAGAGTGGCACACGTGTCTCCCCAGGAGTGGGGCTGACGCTGCCGCTCCTGCTGGCTCACCGGTGCTGCGGTCGGTGCTGTGCTGCGTAACGTGGTCACCTTGGTGCACCCACTCGCCATTGCACTTGAAGTAGATCTGCGTGGCAGGGGTGGCACGGCAGGCCAGGCTCACTGCCTTGTTCTTCACAATGTAGACATCCTCTGGCTCCAGCTGGAAGTGTGGCAGCAGGTCCGAGGATGCACCAGATGCCGGGTTGGCCACGGTCGCGCTTTGCTGAGCACCTGTGGGGAGATGGGGCTCGGCCACCTCCACGTGCCCTGGCTAGGACATCACCCGCACTGGCACAGCCACATGCCAGTGGCCCTGTGCCTCCCCACTGTCCCTTCCACCAGCAGTGCGGCAGCCCTGTCCCACCCTGCCATCCATCAGGGAAAGCAGCCACGCAATGACTGTGCCCGCTGAACCCTTGCCGATCCCTCATGTCCACACTTAGCACTAATGAAAAGGAAATGTAGTGTGACCAACAAGGGCCATCGCTCATGCCTCTGGGGCGCCTGCCACCCCCTTCTCCAGCACTCTGTGAGACACTGACCAGGGGCCACATCCTGCCCTGCTGCACCCCAGAGTGGCACAGGGATGCTGGGCAAGTAATGGTGACAGGGCAGGGTAGCACAGCAGTGCGTCCTATCCTGTGCCATTGACACACGGCACATGGGGGCTGGCTGTCCCCAGGGTGGTGAGGATGGCTCAGTGCTGGACACACATGCCCCCATGGGGACAGCAGTGCTGGGGACATGTGGCACACTCCCACGATATCCACATCCTCCAACCCAGATAAGGCCAGGTGTCTCTTCTCCCCCCACCCCGCCGGTGCCTGCTGTGGAAAGAGTTAATAAACCAGGGCCCTAAATAAGCATTTGATTAACAAACGATAAAATAGCGATTGTGTCACTGAATGAAGCTGTAATTGCTGCTGCTAATTGGCTGGTTAGGATTTAATAAGCAATTAAATGGGATGGAATGCGCAGTAATTAAGTACCTTCGTTTGGCAACCACCAGCCACTCCCCATGTGCCCGTGGGACCCCATTGCTTGTGCCCACCCCGGCTGGCTCCCGCCCGGCACGGCCGCCTGCGTGACGGGAACGCGAGCGACACGGGGGTCCCTTGGGCCCTGCCTGAGTTCCCCAGGAGGCTCCGGGCCCTGCCGCTCCCCCCAGCCGGCTCAGGCCCCTCGGAGCCGGGGAGTGGGTGCCGACGAGCCCGCCGCGATGCCCGCCGGGACGGGCAAGGTGCGGCAGCTAATTTACGCGGAGAAGATAAACGGCGACCATAACGCGCCGGTTATTACCCCATCAGCACTTTTACAATGTCACTGGCAATTAATTTAATTAAAACTCCTGTCGGGGATATACAGGCATTTCATATTTCACCGGTTTAACGACCCCCCCAGCCGCAGCCTGGGGCCGGCCCGGGGGTCACGGCACGGACAGGCGCTGCGGTGCCCTGCGGGGCTGTCCCCGTGCCGGCTGCGGCACAGCTCGCCGCATCACCCACCGCTGTGCCTGCTGCTCGGGCACCCCGGGTGCCCACACTGCGCTACCCGTGCTGGCATGTGGGCTCCGGGTAAATAAACCCAATTTATTTATGAAATGCCATGTTTGCTGCTGCACAGCGTCGCGGCTGCCTCCCGCCCGGGCGGCTGTGGCAGACGCGCCGGGTGAACTGTGCTGCGGGACCAGCTTTTTAATCACACGTGAAATGAGTACAGCGATTGCCGAGCTGCGTGTCTATCCATCACGGCCGAGTGCAGGGGCGCAGGGAGCCTGGGACCAGCAGCAAGGCGTGGAGGAGGCAGGATGGGTATGGAGCCCTTGCAGCTGCCCACCCAAGCGGGGTGCTGGGTGCATTGTGGGCAGGGCAGGGGGAGCATGGGCAGCAAACAGAGCTGGGGATTTGCAGTGAGGTGCTGCCCAGCCCTGGATGTCTGGGTGCTGAGCACTGTGCCAGGCTGTGGTGAGGCTCTTTGCATGGAGCCATGTGGCACAGCCAGGGAAGCTGGAGCTGGCCTGGAGCCCTGTGAGGGAGCAGGGGAGCAATGGTCTGGGTGCCCCATGCACCACAGACACCCCCCTCGTGACGGGTACCCTGCACACCGTGGGCTCTGCACGCACTACGAGCCCCCCACGCACTCTGTGACCATCCAATGGACCATGGCCACCCCACGCATCCCAGTTACGCCAAACACCTCGGGGATCTCATGTGCCGTGGGTACCTCACATCCCCACACTCTTCAGCCCCCTCCATGCCCTGTGCGCTCCCCCTGTCCTGTGGACGCCTCCACGCCACAGCCATTCTTCCCAGCGTGGGCATCTCCCACAGCACAGACACTCCCCCAGCACAGGCTCCCTGCACCCCACGGCTGCGCCGCTCCCTGCAGCCCCTCCATGCACTGCGGGCCCTGTGGGTCCCCCCCAGAGCGTGGCACCCCCAGCCCGTGGTGGGTGCGGGCTCAGCGTGGGCGCTCCGTGGGCAGCGGCCCCCACGTGGCGCGTGCCGGCTCCCGCATCCGCCTCGCGCTCACCTGCCGCTGCGTTGCCATGGAAACAGGCGAGATGCTTATGTCACCTTGGCAAAGGGAACCGGGGAACTTCGGCGGGGACGGCGGGGAACAAGCGCACGGGGTGGGGGGGCCCTGGGTTCCACCCGCCCCTCGCCCCTCCCTCCCCGTGGCCGGGCACAGCCTCGGCCGTTCTCCCTGCAGCCAAAGGAGAGACCGGGAGCACAGTTTGCTCCAGCGCCGATAAATCTCAGCCTGCAAAGTCGGTGCATTAAGCAGGGCTTTAATATCAATTATCCCCCCCAACACGTGGGCTAACGAGTGGTGCCTGATGGAGGGGAAGGGTGGTGGGCTGGGGAACAAGTCTGCGACATCCAGCTCAGAGTGCAGAGGGGATGGGGCCACCCCGCTGTGAGCTCTGGCACCCACCCCTGCCTTCGTCACAGCACTGTGGGACCCCCAGCTGCTCCTGCCCCCCCTGTACAAAGCTCCCCCTGTTTTCTGCCACCCCAGGGGGTCACACAGCCTCTCACCGTAGCACCTGGGCTCCCCAGCAGCAGAAACACCAGGTGTACTGGTGTTACTGGTCAAGGGGAGACCGCAGGACACTGCACTGCCCATTTTGGGGGGACGGGGGAGGGGGCACACTGATCGGACACACCAGGCTCCCATGGGTGCCCCAGTATGGTCCCTCTGGTCCTCAAGGGGCTGACCCTGCCTGGATGATGGTGCCAAAGCCCCCAGCGGTGCCGGGAGCAGCCTGGTGGGTGCCTCCGTGCCTGCCGCGGGGAGACACTGAGAAGGTCAGCGTGCTCTTGGCGAGGAGAGGCTGCGGCAGCGCCAGCCCCGGCACCGGCACCGGCTCGGCCGCTGGGTGCCCACGGGGCACAGCTGCCCCTGCGAGGGAGCAGGTGGCTGCCTGCAGTGGGACAGTGGCACAAGTCTGTCTGAACACTGCTACCCACCACATCAGCCACCCCTGATGGAGCATCCCACCCCATCCTCCTGTGCTCCCCTGTCTGCTGCTGCCACTCTGGGGACCTCAATGCCAGCACCTGCCTGCAGCACTGCGCCCCTCCGTGGACCTCCCGAATCCCCGTGGGCTTTGCAGCCGCAGATTCGCTCCCAGCTGGTGCCCCATCCATCCAGTCGTGCCAGGCCTGGCACACCATTAACATGAAAGATTTCCTCACACTTTGCTGGCGCTCAGCCTTCATCCCAGCATCAGGTAATTAAAGCCATAATTGCTGTTGATTGCTCTGGCCTTAACGAGGGAAGGGTGGGCATCAGGGGGAGGGCAGAGGGTACCCAGCTGTTTCCAGGGGAGCCTGGGGGTGCCAACCCTGAACGCGGGGGTCCCCATCGCTGGCACTTTGCTCTCTGCAGGGTGCAGAAAAGGAAACTGGCACAACTCGCCACAATCAAAAAGCTCGTCTGAGGCTTTGAGCTGGGTACCATCCTGCTGGGAGAGGCTGGCTCTGAGCAGGATCAGCTGCTGGTGTCTCTGGGAGACCCCCCAGGCGTGGGCCACAGCTGCTCTGAGCCTCACCTGGGGCATCAGGACATCATCAAACACTTCCCTCACACCCACCCCTCCACCCCACACAGCCCCACAGCAATGCCAGGCGGGTGCCAGTGCCAGCCCGGGCTGGGCAGAGCGCCAGCAGGGTCGGATGCCAGTGCTGGGCAGCAGGACCTGGCTCCTGGCCAGCCTGGCGCGTGCTGAGCACCGGGCACGATGGGCACACGATGCCAACGCTGCCTCCATGCTCCAATGGGCACCGTGTCCCCGGGCGTGCCCCCCCTACCCTGGACCGTGTCCCCAATTTTCTGGCGTGTCCCCACGAGCTGGCCATTGTCCGGGCCCCTCAGGCGTGTGGCCCACGTGTGCCAGCCCTGGGGCCACGGGGGAGGCTGCTGGAGGTGCCTGTCTCCCGGTGAGTGCCTGGCAGCGTCTGGGCGCTGATGAAGCGAGTGCTGGTTGTGAATGAATTAGGCGGGTTTGCATGACAATGGAGCTGCCTAATTAGGGATTTGAGCTGATACTGCTCTCCCCATTACATGCAATTAGCATGTGCCAGGGCGGGCAGGGCTCCCAGCGCCCGCCCAGGGCTGCACGCCCTGGCTGTGCCCGCACATGACCCCCGCTGCACCATGACCAGCGGCTGAGGACAATGGTGCCAGGGCCACCAAAGACAGCCGGAGGTGGCAGCCCCTCCCCAGGACCACCTCTGCCTGCTTGAGGGCTACCAGCCCCGGCATCCAGGGCTGGGTATTCTTCCCCAGGCACACACAGAGCCCGAGAGGGGACATGTTCCCACCAGCTCTGGGTAGCTGAAGAGCCCCACAGACTCCAGAGCCTCTGTGCCAGCAGGACTCGTGCCAAGACCTGCCAGTCCCTCTCAGCAGCACGGCATGGGGAAGGGGTCCCGTGCTCAGTGGAGGATGAGGGGTTCCCCCAGCCCAGTCGAGCACTGGGATGGTGGAGGACACAAGGCTGGCCCAGTGCAATGTGCAGGAACTGGCTCTGGGGTCTCAATCCCGGGAAGCCAAGTGGGTTTCCTGGCTCTCCTTTAACTGATGGTGGGAAGCAAAAGCTCTGCCAAGCCCTGGCCCCACTGGGAGGAGTGTCAAGGTCACCCTCAGTCCCGCATCCCACCGGAACAGGCAGGGGACAACAATCCCAGGTGCCAGTGTCCAGCCCCACAGTCTCTCCCCTCTCACCCACGGGTGTCACTCAGTGCTGATGGCAGCCCTGGCACCTCACAACCCTATGGCAGCAAGGGCTGTCTGAGGGACCTGGGACCTGAGAACCCCATCCTGCAGGAGCCCCGGCAGAGCAAAGTCTGGGGGCCCATGGGGAGCAACCTGCCTGACACCCCCTGGGAGCAGCACCCAACGAGCAGGCAGATGGCAGAGCCAAGGGGCACTGGGCAGCTGGGACTGACTGGATGAGGACAGGGTCCATAGTGTGCCCAGTCTGGAGCCAGCCCACCTCAGCCTTTCCACAGGCAGACATGCAATCCATGGACCAGCAATTGTGCTGACAGACAGAGCAGTGCTGGCACGGAGGGTGCACCCCTGGGCACAGGGAAGGGGGGACAGTGGGACATGCACAGCACTCAATCCCCATGCCAACATACCTTGGGCACCGACATCAGTAACAGGGTGGTCTCGTGTGCTGCTGGCCACCCGGTGGGCCGGGCTATGAGGAGCCTGCAGTGACTCCGGGGGTGCCCAGCCCCTGGTGGCACCGTCAGCATCCCGGTTCCCTCCCGCAAGCACCTGCCAGGCTCAGCACGCTTTGATGTAGTGCCAGCCCCGCGTGGCACCGAGCCAGAACAAACAGCCCTGGGCAGGCTGCGTCTGCCGCGTGCTCGTGCTGACAGCCGGCACGGCACGGCAGCTTCCCGGTGCCCGCAGCTCCCCGGTGCCCGCAGCTCCCCGGTGCCCGCAGCTTCCCAGTGCCCGGCACACTCCAGCCCTGCCCCGCTCCAGCCCTGCCCGCCCCACGGAGCCGCCCGTGCCCAGCCAGGCACAGGCTGTGGGGTGCTGTATGATGCAATGACCTGGGGTGCCAGGCTGTGGGGCGTCAGGCTGTGGAGTGCAGTGGTTGGGGGCTGTCTGCTGGAGCCCGGGGGTCCCTGGCAGCCTGGGGAAGTCAGCAGCACAACGTGACTCGTGCACGGTTTGAGCAGAGTCTGTGGCCCTGACCAGAGGAGCTGGAGCAGGAGCCGCTGTGGGGCTGGGGCAGGAGATGTGCTAGGGCCTGGCACTGGCTGCAATGAGGCCAAGGAGAAGGGCTCATGGCACCCTGGGAAGGACCCTGCCCCCTGCCCTTGCCCACCCGATGGTGCAGCAGCCAAGCAGGGCAGCCCCACCTTGGGAGCTCGCCCCTCCCTGCTGCCCATGGGTGACCCTCAGTCCTCGCTGCTGTTCTCGCCCTTCCCCTTTGGGCTCCAGGGGCTGGGCAGCCCACAGCCAGGGACGCTGCTCCACCAGCAGGCAGGGGCCCTTTGCCTGGACACCCAGGTTCGCTGTCCCCAGCCTGTGGCTTGACGAGCCTGGTGAAGGGATCCATGCCGTGCCATGCTGTGCCATGCCTTGCCAGGCTGGAGCAGAGGCCCAGCCTGCCCTGTTTGTGCCAAGTAGTGGCTGTGCAGGTGACTGGGCTCAGTCGTGCTGTGGCTGGCTGTGAGCTGCCTGCCAGGCGAGAGATGGGGATCAGCACCACACCACACTGCCCGAGCCAGGGCTGGCACCTCCAGGCTGCTCACACCTCCTGTGACAGGGCTGGCATGAGGTGCTCTGGTGCACCCCCTGCCCTTCTGCCCCCCATCTCCAGCCATCCTCACAGTTCCCACGGGTGCTGTGGGGACAGCCGTGGTCCATGCCCAGCTGGGGTTGGGTACCCACAGCACCCTCCATCCATAGAGAGTCCCCTACCCCCAGGAGGTGCCCACCCACCGCGCCGTCTCCGCAGCGTCCCCCTGCAGACGGGGCCATGCAGGCTCCCTGGGGATGCCCAGACGGTTGTGGGAGCACTGGGGCTGCAGCCCCTCTGGGCGTCTGCCGTGCCCGCCAACGCACGGAAACCACACTGGGGGACATCTCTGCTGGCGGGTGGAGGGTCAGGGGTCCGGGGCCCTCGGGCGCAGAGGGGGGGTCCCGTCCCCCCCACGGGCCCCCCGCAGAGCTCACGTCCAGCCCCGCGCAGCTCCCCGCCCCCAGCCTGGTCCTTTGTCTGCAGCCGCCACTTCCCGTCTGCCGTGACACCTGCCAGCCCCGGGCACCCACCGTGCTCCCGCTCGCCGACCCCACGCACCGGCCGCCGGAGCCAACAAGCCCCGGGGGTCCACGCGGCCGCTCCCGCTCCTGCCGGGTCCTGCCCTGGGGGGCATCGCCGGGGGCAGCCGTGCTCCGGACCGTCCGCGTCTGCAGCACCACCGATACAGTCCCGCATGCTCCCCGCGTCATGACCACCCACGCGCACCCCCGCGGCGTGACAGCACCCTCCGGGCTATCCCGTCACCGCGGTCCCCCGTGTCCCGGCCAAGTGATGGCAGCGGCAGGAACGCCGTGCCAGCGGCAGGGATGCTGCGCGTTGGGCAGGGACACCGCGCGTGGGGCAGGTGCGCTGCGGGCACCGCTGCCCGGCGCTGGCAGGGCCCCGGGGGAGCGGGGAGCGCCAGCCCCACCGAGTGCGGGCAGCGTCCGGGGCAGTGCCGGCGGGACACGCGTGTGCGGCCGCGCTTGGGCGAGGGGCGGGGGGCGGCGGTGCCCGCCGTGGGGCGGGGGACACATCCCCGTTCCGGGAGGGCGCCCCACCAGCACCCGAACCTCCCAGAGCCAGCGGGCATCCCGCACGGAGAACGAGCGGTCCCCGTCCCCGGGAGGGCACCGGCGTCCCGCAGGACGCGCACCCGCCGCCGCTCCCCGGGTGACCTTGCCCGGCGCCCAGTCCCGGTGCCGGGTCCCCGCCGCGCCGCCGGTCCTCCCTCTCCCGCCCAGAGCGCGGTGCCCGCGGGAGGCGGCGGTGACTCACCGGCGGCGGCGAGCAGGGCAGCGGCGAGCAGGGCACCGAGCGGCCCCGGCGCGGCGGCGGCAGCGGCGGCGGCGGCGGCGGGGGGGGCCCGGCGGCGGGGCGGCCGCGCACCCATGGCGCGCCCCGCGGAGCGCTGCGGGGCGAGGGAGCAGGGCGGGCCGCGCTCCGCGCCGCCCTCAGCGGGCCATGGCGCCCCCGCCACCGCCACCGGCCCCGCCGCGGCTGCCGCCCGCCGCCGCGCCGCTCCGCTCCGCCCGGGCGCCGCCAATGCGGGGCGGGAGCGCGGACCCGCCCGCGGAAGGGACGGCGCAACAGCTGGGCGCGCCCCCGCCGCCGCCCCCCGCCCGCAACGCCGGCACCGCTCCCCCCGCTGGCTCTGCACCCCCCGCCTCTGCACACACCCGAGCCCGCACGGGGGGTCCGCACCGTCCCCGAGCGCAGGGCAGCGCGGCGCCCCCGGCTTGCATCCCCCCCGGGCACGGAGCATCCCTCCCGGCACGGCGTCACTCCCCTCTCCGGGACGCCCGCGGGCTCTGCTCCCCCCGGCACAGCTCACACCTGCTACAGCTTCATCTCCCCTCCACGCCCCACTCTACCCCAAGCCCTGCTGCACCACCGGGTGATGCCCGGGGATGCTCCCCAGCCCAGCCTGGCATCCCACGGGAAATGTCACAGAAGAGGGACCGCAATCTTTGCGGCAGCGTGGGTCACCTGTGGGACCCCACCTTTCTGCCACACATGGCGGTCTGACCTCAAGGTACCCCATGCTCAGCCACACTGGCCTCTCCCAGGGGATGCAGCCGCAGGATGTGGCCCCTTCCCTCTCTGTCCCCTCCCTGCACCCTGCCAAGGTGCCCACAAGCAGCGTTGCCATCACCAGCGGGCAGCTGCAATGTGGGCAAGGGGCAAAGGTCAAAGGGGGCTGAGGCTGTACCGGGGTGCCCGGGGTGCTCCCCAAACCCTGTGGCAGCCAAAGCCTGTGGCAGCTGTCCCCAGCAGCAGCAGCCAGGCAGTGGCTCCCAGCCTCGTGCAGCAATAATTTCATTAGCGGCATCAGGAACAATTAACAACTGCTCTGATGCCTTCAAGAGCTGAAGCGTGTGTGAAGCCAGCACAGCTCTCCCGGGTGGCACCGGCTGTGCCGTGGCCTCCCTCCACCCCAGCACAATGCTGACAGTGCCAGGCAGAGTCGAGCCCACTGCCAGCACCGCTCTGGGACGAGGCCAGAGCCATCTCCCACCATCACACACCTGCCAGGACCTCCTGTGCAGTCCTGGACCAGCCACGCACACAGGTAGGGCAGAGATTGTGTGTGACACCCGTGGGTGCCCATTTTCATCCCACCATGCTGCCCCAGGCAGATCCATGAGCCCCAGGACATCTGCCTGGACAGTGGTGGGGGCCAGTGGCAGAGGAGACCCCCAACCCCTGTAAGCAGAGCTCTGGTGCAGCAATAACAGCCCTCCTTCAGGCTGGCTCGTTATTACTGATGGCATTTGCATGGAAACAGGATGTTTTTACTCCTTGCAGCTCCATCTGCTCCTGCTGAAGTCACCGCTCTGCACATGAGCTCCGGGGGGCTGCCATGGGAACGGGGGCGAGCTCCCCCACAGCACCGGGACCCCCAGCTCGGGCTCCCCCGGTGGCCAAACCCCCAGGCAAGCAGCAGGACAGGGAGAGGTGGGGTACCCAGTGCAGATGGCACCTGAGGTGGGCACCCAGCACGGTGCTGCCCTGGGCAGTGTGGTGGGGAGAGGGCTGGGGGTCCCACATGTGATGCCAGCCCCATCTGCTCCTTGCACCTCTCTCCCGGGATGGCTTCCAGCTCCTGCTCCTGGCACGGCACTGGCAGTGCCAGCAACAACGCTCCCAGCCCCTGGGCACCCACTGCATCCTCCCTGTCCCGGTGCCCAGCCGGGGGTGCTGGTGGTGCCCAGTCCAGCCTCAGCTTCTCTCAGTTCCCTCGGTGCCATGCCAAGGCTGTGTGGTGTCACCCTGCATTGTCCCTCCTGTGCTGTAGGCCAGCGTGGCTGGGTCATCAGTGGAGAAGTGGCAGAGTGCACTGACGAATGAATAAACTCTAATTAATACAGATTGAGGAGATCACTTTTAATTCTGCTTGCTTTCCCTCTTGCTGAGGAGAAACTGAAGGGATGGATGAGCCAGATCCTGCTCTACAGCTGCCAGAGCCCTGAGTCCTGCTGCCAAGGGTCAATGTCTGCCTGGCTCATGCCTGTGGGGGCATCTGGGACCCCTGCCCACCTGCCAGGGTGGTGTGAGGGGCTGCAGCACATGGGGAGCCACGGGAATCAGAGTCTTTGAGGAGGAGATTGCAGTGCCTGGCTGGCCCAGTGCCTCCAATCCCACATGCTCAGCATCTGGGTGTCCTGCAAGCCCCAGGGGGATGCCAGAAACACCCGTCCCACTGGGTGCTGTAAATGGATTATTACTCAGAGTAATTAAGGTGGAATTAAAAATTAATTCTCCTCTCCAGTGTTCCGCGGTCACGGCTCAGCCACGTGCTGCAGCCATTGTGTCAGGGCTTTCTTCTGAAAAAGCCTGGATTAAGGCAGAGGTGGGGGGAGGGCATCACCTGGTGAGCAGTGGTACACCCAGGCTCTGTGGGCTGCAGCTCCCTGGGGATGCCACCTCCCTGGCACTGCTCACCTCTCACCACACGCCCCAGGTGCCACTTTTGTCTGGGCCAGCTGGGGTGAGGCAGCTCCCACCACCACGGAGCCTGGCAAGGGCCCTGTGCCGTGCCCGACCTCCTGCCTAGCCCTGGCAGCCACGGGCAAGGCCAGCCCTGAGATTTTCTAAACTCCCATCAAATATTTAAGTAGATATTTGAGCTCATGTATAATGGATCGCCGTGCGCTGCCTCCCTCTCCATTTGTGGTATTTAAGGAAGGCGAATATTAAACACCATTGTATTAGCAAAACCGCGCCTGCTTAATTGAGTTACAAACAGGGAAGGTGCTGGCGGGTAAACAATGCATAATGCAGGGCCCCAGGGCAGGATGTGGCTGCCCTGGCACCAGGCAGGGCTCTGCAGGGCATGGGACAAGAGGGTGCTCCAGCGGGGTGGGCACTGGCGCTGATGGTGTCACTGGCAGAGCCAAAGGTGTGAGGAGCACGTGTGCTGTGTAACAGACAGGTGACAGCATGGCACAGCACAGCCTGGCATGGGACAGCATGGCACAGCACAGCATGGCATGGGACAGCTTGGCTTGGGATAACGTGACACAGTGTGGGACATCCCAGGTGTCATCCTGCACAGGGATGCTCAGAAATGGAGCCAATGAGAACAACCCCAGCCACACAAGGAGCAGAAAGATTATGAAAATGAAAAGTAAATAAATATGGATGTTGAGGACCTAATTCTGATAAGAGGATTTTCAAAATTAGCCATTTGCAAGAGTAGATTAACGACACACAGTGCTGGGGGTGGGAAGGGCTCCTTTAGGATGTGCAGCAAAGCCCATTGGGCACAGCCTGTTCCTTGTAGCCCTGAGCACCCAAAGAGTCACTCCCCACTTTTTGAGGAGATGGATTTGCTGCTGCTGCAGGGGAAAATGAAGTGGCCAGAAGCACAGCATGGTGCCACTCTGCAAACACAAGCTCTGCAGACACAGTACCAGGGTGCCAGGACTTTACCACAGAGAATAATATCTGGCAGCACTGGGATGCAGATGCTGGCACCCAGAACGACCACTCCAAGCACTGCAGTGGGTGCTCTGGATGGAGCTGGTGCTGATGCCCCCCTGGGAGCACTGTGGGTGCTGGGGCAGGGGCACCTCTGTATGCTCTGAGCCGGGGCAGGAGGCTGCTGGGGCTTGGAGAGGCTTTTCACATCCTCTGGCTGGGATTTTCTATCCAGGCAGCCAAGCAGAAATCTCATTACAGACTGGCACAAAGGCAGTCCCCATCCCTGTCCCCACAGCAGGCTGGGGGCAGGCAGGGTGGGCACAGCTGTGAGCAGTGCGAGGGCATGGGCAGCTAGCGGGCTGCAAGTGGCCACTTGCTGTCCCCAGCCATCCTTTGTAGCACTCACCCTGCCCTGGACCCGTCAGTCCCATGCCCAGTCTAACACAGAGCCCCCACTTCATGGTGGGTCTGAGGTGGCTGCTGGCTCCTTGACATGTGTGGGGCAAAGCCCCTGTGCAGGCAGGGCAGGGTCAGGCAGGGCACGGTGCAGGCAGCCCAAGCACCCCGTGCCCAGCGCTCCCACAGCAGCAGCAGCAGCAGCAGCAGCAGCAGCCCATTAATTAGCAGGGCAGTGGGAGAGCAGCCGGCAGAGCTGTGGGGATCGATGGGCACATCGACCGCCGGGAAACTCCAGCCCTCCCCGCCAGAGCTGTGGAGCTGGGGCATGCAAGGAGCCTGGCAGCCCCGGCCCCGGGAAAGGGATGGCTGTGGGTGCAGCATCAGC